ACTTCAGTTCATATGATATTATTGATATTTTTGGTTGTATTTTTTATGCTTGTTTATTTGTTTTTTTTTTTTTTACTTCGTTAATTTTTTTTTTCAACATTTTTTTGTCATTTTTACTGACATTGCCAAGAAATATTTGTATTACGCGGAAAATTTATTCATCGTCATCGTAGTTTTGATAGGTTACATAACGTACCTGTGAGCGGTCGCGTCCATAAATTAATGACTGTAAAAGTTAAGAGGTGCATTTGTTAATATTTTAAAAAGGTTCTGACCAAGTGAATGTGTTAACATAGAGGCCAATAATGGAATTAAATGAAAAAATAAACAAATCTATTGAAGTTAAACCAAAATTACATTTATAAATTCATTAAATCGAAAAGTGTTTATATGTACAATAATTATGACAGCACTTATGTGAATAAGAGGAAAAATTATATTAAATGTACAGAAATTAAAATATTTTAAATTAGCAACTTATTGTTGTAGACATATTGCAAGCAAACAGACGACATAGCCTTAGATTATACAAATAGTAAGTTTTAATTAAATTAAAAATTCATAACATTAATTAAGAGCTCATAATCGTTCACTTTCAAAAGCCTCATTCGCCTTGCCTGCATCCGTCGAGGTATCGTGCATGATAGCCGGACAGGATGTCATTATTTGAGCAATCGAATTACCGGCGGCTGCTTCTGCAGCAGCAGCCTCGATAGCCATACGCACCTTTTTCTCATCGCTGGTCGGTGGGTTCTTGAGGAAGGTTAGCAGCGGCGCATACAAGAAGCACAGGATGGCGATGCCAAATAACATCCACTCGAACCCAATACTTTTCACAAGTGAGCCTGATAGAGCTGGACCGACGGCAAAGCCAACACAGAAGGCCACATCGCCCAGGGCATAGACGCTGCCATAGACGGCCGAGTGCCGTATATCGACTAGATAGCCCAGCTCCGGCATCATCGAAGAGTCCACCATACCAATGGCAAAGCCCAGACCAGCATTGGGAATAATCAGATGTGTGATAGAGGTAGCCATGGGTATCTGAAGAGAAGGAGAAGCATTTGTAAAATTATGCTGGCCATCTGATAGATGTACATACAAAGATTAAGCAGGCGCCAATGATAACCAGTCCTAGGCAGGCGGCAAACCATCTTCCAATTTTGTGTCCAAGTGGTCCAAACAGATTAGTGCCAATCAAATAGCTAATAGAAGCTGGCAAAAATGCCACACCTTGCTCCCAACGCGTTGCACCCATGTTGTCCACCATCCACAACGGCAAAGACGGTTCCAGCATAGCAATACCCATATTAGCAAAGGTGATTGCACCAGCAGCTATCAAAATGTAAGGATCACTAATCAGACTCTTCAGGGACGGTGGCTCCTCTGACTCTGATTTCTGTATTGACGGTTGCAACATGAACAGTTGCAGCAAACCATCGCCTAGTGCCAGTGCAGCCAACACCAGAAATGGCGCCGACTTGCCCACAAATTCATACATAACGCCACCAAAGGGCGGTCCTATGAGCACACCGAGCGCAAGTCCACCCAGAGCTATGCCCATGGCATTGCCACGTTCTTTGTCGTCTGTGAAACGATCTGCCAGCATGCCCATTCCCGAGACCGAGGAACACGATGAGCCAATGCCCTGAAGGGCTCGGGCAATGAAGAGTACCAGGTATGAACGACCAAAGGCGAAAACTAGACGAACAAATTAGAAATATGGACAAAGCAAATTCATCTTATACTTACTCAGCGTTGACAAGAACATAATCACAAAGCCGGCAAACATGGGTATGCTGTAGCCGATACTGAAATGTTAAAGGAAAAGTTAGGAATTCTGATGGAATTTATATTAAGAAACCGATTCGAGCAATTCCTCACCGATGGGTCAATGGTCCTACAATCGGATTAACCAACAATTGTACAATGGCCTTTGATGCAAAGAGCAGACCAACTTCCACAGTTTCGCCAACCAATTCATTGTGCCGTTCCTCTAGCTCCCGGTAGTATGTTTCATTTTCTGTTGAAGATGCAGACGTTTCATTGCTCGAACTGCACCCAATTACCGTGCTTACCTTCTGCGCTCGGCGTGGACACCTCGATCGGCACCAACACATCATTGCCACCCTCCTTACATGGACAGGACGTTGGCGGTGGTGGAGTGGCCAGGGTGAGAGGCGTGCGTGGGTAACTGTCGAGAGGTGCGTCCGGATGTCGTATGTCGTACAAGAACTCGGGTATGATGGGAACTATGAAATAGAAAGGGTCGGTTAATGGTTTTGTAATTGAGTTGCAACAAAGAATTTAGCTACAATTAGCCTAACGGCCTGCAGTTAGATGACGCTAGCAAAGCAATTTTCCCCAGCCGCTTCTCTAATTGTATTAAAGGCCCGCAAAATTGTTGTTACTAAAAGTTTATAATGGCTTCTAGGCATTTTTGCAGCGAGCAGATTGCACGCTCTAATTGAGTTGTTCGGCCATGCCAACCAACTTGCACAAATTGCGCATACGCCGCGTACACCTTGCCGTTGAGACATGGAAGCGGAAGCGCTTCAAGTGGAGCTCGGTTTGGCTGCGCCCTTTTTTCCATTCGCACGTAAGCGCCGACTTAAAAGGAACTCAACCATTACCCTTTTGTAGGAAATTGAATTTGTTTATTGCATGTTTCGACTCTGTTTATATTTATTATCAACACCCTTAGCCAGCGGTATCCGTTGCAGACCCAGTCTAGACCCAACTTGGCAAGTGCTTGGTTGGTAGCTGCAATTGCATTCATGTGTGAGGTCTTGTTATTCTCTTGCAGAGGCTATTATAATTTTGTCATGAAATGTGTTACGCATAGAAGGAGACATCTACTTATATATACATCATGAGGCCATGTCCATGTCCATGTATTTCTGTGCCTATCTCTGTCGAACGCAGTACATATGTCGGAGCCAGCTGGATCGGACTACTATATCATATCGCTGCCATAGGAACGATCCGTCGAAAAGTAGCTCTTGCATGGAACATTTTTTTTTTTTCTAGATATCTTAACCATACTTGGCATTAACTTTTCCCCCTGTGCTTCTTTAATACGAGCAAAAAACGATGAGCCTAATGAAAAAGTTGGGCAAGGGTATTAAATCTTCAGCATTCCGAAGCGCTTCTTTCTCGTTTCAATTGGATTTGCAAGTTGCTGAGTGTTCGACGATAGCTGTAGTCCCTGCTTATCGTTGTTTTAGTTGCCTCAGTTTGAAGTGTTGTTGTCATAGTTTGCGGATGGCAACTAGACAGCATTGCGGTTGATTTGGTAGCTGTTTAACAAATCAAAGTGATATGCCCAAAGGGATAAATACATATGAAAGGGAGAATTGTGGTAATGTTTGTATCGATTAGACTCTAATAAATGACGTTAATTGCTTGGAAAGAAACGTGTTTAAGCGTATAAAATCATTAAATGTTTGTAGAGTTTTAATGGGACGCGTTCTTATGGCGCTTTATAGTATTACGTTAAGTCGAAGTTATACACCGAATTATTGCTTACATTCACATGGTTATAGAAAGGCCAGTGAATGTGAAATTCGACATAATATCTCTTATCCTCATTCACTTAAACCGCTAACCAAATAACATGTAGATAAGACATGCAGTACAAAGAAAGCGGACACTCAAAATTACTAACATCTGGTCCAAACTCGACTTCGTTTTTGTTCGAGTTCGAAACACGCCCGCATGCTTAGAGAGTAAAAAGTACTTATGTGCTAGAACGGCATCACTGTCTTTTTATCTCGCTCCCACTCAAGGAAACTGCTTTGTCTCATTCTCAGTGCTCTCTCATTATGTCTAGGTACCGTTGTAATGTTTGTGTGTGTGTATGTGTCCTCACAAGCAAAAATACGCACGAATTCAATATATTTTCAAAAATAGGATGAATTTCTTTCCTTTTGAAAGGATGAGTAATATGAAATTATGAAACCGTTTGCCACTTCGATGAGAATTTCTTGCATTTTAGCTCGTTATCATTGATAGGGGTACCTAAGCGTTGTTTGATCGCGACTGACTCATGCTTGAAAACTAAAGCACAATTGACAATAAGTTTATGCATGTATGAGCGAGACAAGGAGTAATTGGACTTGTTGAAAAAATAAGAGTACAAGACGAATGTTAGAATTGAGCGAACTTGGGATAAACGGGAAATTGTTGACTAAATGACCTTGACTATTTGTACATATGTATTTCTCTACATATATATGTACATATGTATGTTGGATATGTAACTTGACATCCCAATTTTTGGGCACACCCAAAATACAATGAGAATAACTCAAATTAAAAAGTAAGCAAGCAGAAATGTATTCAAAGAGTTTTTGTTTTAATTGACTTTATAATTCACCACAAATAATTAACTATTTTCAGGAATAAATAATTGATATTTTGTGGTACCAGACATGTCATTAAACTGCCTCCAAGTTTTTAACATTACAAATATCGAAAGGCACGTGCAACTGAAAAAGCGGTTAATGGAGTCGAGCATTTGGGAAAAGGGGTTTGGGCATAGGTTGTTTGGGTTACATGTCGCGTGTCGAAGACACTTAAGCCGCAAAGCAAACCAAAAAGCAAGCGGCGGGTGATGGGCGACCAGACAAAAGAAACCATGACGACCAGGGACTGGCCAAAAAGCAAGATTGTGTGAGTACAATTCCACAGTCTTCCGTGTGAGCTAAGCGAATCTTCAACTTTTACAAGTCCTCAGAGTAAAAATGTACACACATGTATAAAATTGATTATCCTGCCTGCCTGATCGATGCACTGCATCCAATTGATGCAGCCTTGTAGCTGCATAATTGTGTATCTTACTTTTGCTCTTGGCTCTTCTATTTGTTCTGGACAGGATCTTTTAAGAATCTTTCGCTTGATCTTTAGCAGAATCCCGATTCCAGCGCCCCATATAACTATATGATCTCTGAATCAGTTACGTGATCAGTCGCAACTCAATTTTAAGATTTCTACATGATTGTTGGTACTTCGAATAAAATAGGATTTACCATTTGCTTAACACCAAAGACGACGGTCTTGAATTGCTGCGAAATTTGATGCATTATGGGTTTGGTAACAAATCACGCTTTAGCTTGAGGCGATGCCGATTCCGTGACTTTTGGCCATCCCTAGTGAAGAGAAGTTTTTTTTTTGCGGTAGCGTGGTTGGCGTCGTCAGGCAAACAGCGACAACAGTGGAACAGCAACCGGCAGTCGAGGCAGACGACAGCGAGGACAGTAACTATGAGGACAACAGCGACTGCGAGACAATCGAAAGCTGCTTGCATTTGTTTTTCTGCATAATAAGTCATAGGTAAGGGCTCTGATTTATGGTGGAGTGGATAACCGGAGGAGACCATGCGACGGCCATCTCGTTCCATTTGGGAGTCGGCCAGTCGACCCTTGTTCGTGCGCTCCGTCTGGCTGGAGAGGATCGGGGATACTGGGCGCAGCCACCGACGCCACTTTATACTCGACTATGAGCCGCACGAGCGTCAGTGCCAACGACAAAACGCCAAACGAGCTGGTAAGTAAAACGAATATCCTTTGATGGAGCTCCAACCAAATTCAACCAAACTTATCGAATTCGGACAGACATCGGTTATGGAAGCGAATCAAACGAGTTTAACGGAAAGTCAACGGCAACAGAGAATTACGCTGATTATAGCTTGAATGAGTATCTGCTATTGGACGCGACCAAGCTGACGTTGCAGCACCAACAGCAAGTTTGCCAGAGCCAGGGCGTAATGTCCAACAAAGTGCAAGCTGCCTTCACCGTGCTGCACAGCAGGCGTCATTCGAAGCGACGTGCCTGGCTGCTGGGCAGCGATAAGGGTTACCAGCTGGACCACCTAGCGGATCGTCAGCCGCATTCACGGCGTAGTTCGCTTCAGGATTCACTGGCCACGAGTACAGTCAATCCGGAGGAGCGTCTTGCGGAGCGTGTGATCAATTGGCTGGACTTGGCAGGTCGTGCGGATATTGTTAAAGCATCGACACCAGTGCCAGTCAGTAGCAGCAGCGCAACGCTATCGAGGAGCCATCGAATCAGTCGGCATAACCAACGTGGCATGAGCCTTAAACGTAGTGCCACGGGAACAGTTGCACCGCGTGAAGCGCCTAGGAAGCCCGCGACAAAGCAAGCGGTTATGAATTACTGCGCCAACTCCTCCAATGCCAAGCCGATAACCATCATTTTTAACAAGGAGGGAGTGCCCGTCCGCCTCAATCGTCCGCCGCGCAACATTGATCTTTGTGCGCTTAGCAACAGCGCCAGCACGACGCGTCGCATGGCCGGACAGTTGGCATCGGCCAGGTTATATAATGGCACTGCTGCAGCACCCACTGCGAAAGACGCACGTACTCCGCCACTAAGCAGTCGCGGATTGAACGCAACCCAACAGGACAGTCGTAAGCAGCTGCACATCTTCATGCCAAGTCTGCCCAAGAAGGGCCTGCTCCTGGCAGCATCGAGTAACGAGGATGCGCTAAGCGCTAGTTTAAGTGAATTATATTTTTAAGCGCTAAAATTAAAACGCGTATTTATTTCTATGAGGAATAATAAAAAATCCCTTAATTGCATTAAGGGTCCGAATGTAAACTTAGATTAGGCCTTCACTTCTACGTTAATTCCCCGCTTATTGGACTATTGATGGAATCGTTCGAGCATTGCATTTTAACAACGTCTAATTTTCAGGGGAATATTTATGAATTTAGCGAGATTTTAATTTTGCGTTAGAGTTTTTCTTGCTTTCTAAAATATGGCTTAATAAACTGGATTTATTCTCTCTAGATTTTATTCAAGAGCTTACGGCGATGTCAAAGTAATCGCCGGAGAATTAAATATTAACAATATCTAAAGTTGGGAGGAATATTTATGGACTTGACTAGATTTTAATTTGATATTCATATATGCAATAATATATATTTTAAATTTTATTTAAATAAGTACGTAATGGGCTGCTTTCCGCTTGCAAGTTTTAATTATAGACTTTAGTGGCAGTGCATTAAGGGTCATAAATCAATTATTGACATAATATATGGTATATCCGAAATGGGGCCGTAGTTATAAGAAAAGAGAGAGGATGGATTTGCTTCAACCGTCATGCAAGGGCACCTCCGACACCTGGCACACCTGTAATTTTACCATAGCAGCATCGAAGGCGACACCAAAAACGACAGCAATTTGTGACCTTTGGCGGTGGATAACCTGTCGCAGGCAGGCAGGCTTGTGCTGAGGAAGGCAGCACACTCATAACGTCAATCTTTAGCAACCCCAAGGGCCTCGACAAACTTTTTCCAAAAGACAAAAGGCACGCTCGCAATTACAACGCAGCTAAAAAAAAACTTTTGTCTGACATTTGAGTTTTTGCCTGTTTGGTAGGGAAAATGGCTAAGAATAGTTGCTTAACAAGACAGTCGAATGCCTGCCGTGACTTATTCGCGATTCCGAGGCCCACGCGGAAGGTTGCAAGTTTTACGACTCGGCAAGGATAGACCAAGTGCTATTCCGGTTAAGAAGCATAATTTTTGTATTTAATTTTCCGGTAATTAGTAAGACTGGCAAATGTCAACGGATGAGCACAACGTGGGCAGCCCCCTAAAGCCGTCCACGTCCAAGCCCGTCCTCGCACAAAACACAAGCGCACGTGGTGCATCGAATCTGTTGCGCCATCAGCACAGCTTTGAGGCACGCTACAGCAGCATTATCCAGAACCAAATTTGGGAGACGACCATCAATAAGGATGTTATGGAGCGACAACTTAATGAATACTTTCCCTTTGCGCGCAGTGCTTCCCTCACAAGGAACGAATCCGACAGCTTTTATCAGCTGCTCAATCCAACGCCGGAGAGTAGCAATGGGGCTATCAAGGCACGTTCATTGGGCACCACGCCCATCAAAAATAGATCGGCAGCCTCTCTAGACAAATTTGATACTTCGGAAAAGCCAATCACAAATAATACTGCTGAGCCGTAATAGAAATGAAGGAACACAAAGCTTACTTCTCTATCGAATTACGGATACTAATGCACGCAAGTTAAAAAAATAATAATTTAAAAAAAAATATAAATGTACGTTTTTTGCTTGCTATTCATTTGTACAAATGCACATAAGCAATAAAATACATTTTATATGCGAACTTGTGGCGATCTGGCAACACAGAAATGTATACATTTTAGGTTCTTTTTGTCTTTGATAAGGTTTGGTTACACTAATTTGAAATTTCCCAATATTACAAAAAATATTTACAAAGTATTCTAGCTCGAACTCTCTAGCCTAATTAAGCACTTTTTTGGTGTATATTAAATAAAGTAACTATTGCTAAAATTAATTTATTGACTTTTAAGTTCCATCTATTTAAGCAAAAGCTTAAAAGCAGGATGCGAGGTATCTAAAAGCCGAGTACTGCCAGCGATGTGTAACATTCTCACTTGTTCTTCATTAACAAACAAACCAGCAAACTATATATGTACACACTTGAGCTATTGTTTATTTATGCAATAAAGCACTTACAGATAAGACTCTGACCCATACATAAATCAAGAAAGTCGCCTAAGCATGCTCGTAAGACGTCGTCTCCTTCGAGGAGCCCCTTTTCGCAGCTTAATCAAATTTATGAGAATTTTATGCTCATTGCCGAAGATCAAATGTAATAAGCATGTATTTCTTGCAATTTTCACTTCAACACCTTTAACGGCGAAGTGAAAGCACTTAAGTGGAAATGCCTCAAGTCAAACGCTAAAAGCATATTTGCCGTAACCTCTCCCCTAATCCAGCACTTAACCACATACACCCCTTGCCATGCGGCATTCAGAGCTAACTTTGATTTGCTGTAACAAAGACAGGCGGACAGACGGACAGGCGGGCGGAAACTAGAAAAGCATCAAGTGGCATCTGAAGTCCGGGGGTTCGGATGGTTGCTTCTCTTTTTGGGGTTGAGCCAACACTTTGACTTTTGCGCGTTCCATGAGCATTTTTCCACTTTTCCTTTTGCTTTGACTTCTTCGTCCGTATCTTTCAACAAGTCGTCGCTTAAGTGCCGCCGCATTCGCATTCGCATTGGCATTCGCCTAGCTATTTGTCTTCGGCTGGCTACTTTCTACTTGTTGATATAATTTCATGAACGTTTAACACAAAGCAGAATAAGGAACTTCAATCGCTATTTGTGTTGTCAGCCGCAGCAAACATTGGTCAGACTGGAGTACAGCTGCGGTCCATCGTCCCTCGGCCACTTGATGTCCACGTGTTTGTCCAGACACTTGACATAAGCACTTGGCTCGACCGTTGGCCAGCAACGTCCTTCCCCTGCGTAGATTTAGTGTCACACGCAGTAGCAATGGTCGCGTGTCTATTTAATTGACTGTCCGCACTTTGAGTATCTCCACTCCCAATCCCAATCCCAATCCCTCTCTGCCTCTGCCTGTGTCGGCTCTTAATAATGACGGGCAAATCACACTGGTACTCCAACAATTGATTAGTTGCTGTGCTTGGTTGAAAATTTGTTGAGTTCGCTCAACAGAATTGGTTTGGGATCCTTTGAGTAGCGTTCGTCTAAAGGACTACGAACAAGGAATGTGTTTATCGATTGATGGCTATTGTACTTGAGAACACAAATGTGTGCATAAATATGAATATAATTGATTAAGCACATATATATATATAAATATATTTTTAAGAAGAAGAAGAAGCAGAAGAGATGTGGTACTATTAAAGCAAATCCCGCAGCTAATCAAAATCCCTTGGCATCACCCAATGACAGTTGAATTGATGAACTGAAAGCCAGGTGGTGAGTGACTGACGCCAAGACAACATTCATTAGCTTAAGTGGCGCTTTGTGGTAATTTTATGGCCAAAGGAGTGCCAGGAATCTATGTGGAAATGAAAATGAATAATTTCCAGGTGATTGCCTTGCATTGTCAAGTGGCTGCCAAGATAAATGGCCATGAAATGCTAATGGCTGGCAGAAATATGCGGCTTTTACGATTTGTATTTAAGCCTGTAAGATTGGGCCTCACTTACCGACAGTTGTTAGTAGCATGTTGTCCAGCAGGAGAGCTATGGCAACAATGACCAGAACGAGCCGGTTGGAGCCCCGCCAGCTGACCATCCATGTTTTGGCAGCTGACCAAGTACCGGCTGCACGTGGATCCTCCTGTCGATATTGATCCGGCGGCGGTTGACCGCCGCCTGTCAATTTGCGTGATGCATAAAGCTGTTCTTGGTTTGTTGGCGATGCCAGCTGTTGGTCCGTGGCGACTGCTCCGCTTGTTCCCATAATGCCGTTGTCTGCTTCCATGTTGCCATTCTGCTTATTGCTATCCAACTGTTGCTTGAACGGATTTTTGCTAGAGATTGTGTTCCCTATGCTCGTCTGTTGCTGCTGCTGACTGTTTTCATTTACGGTAAAAGACGTCGTTTGGTTTGTTGCAGTCGGCGCTGCTCCAGCTCCAGTTCCTGCTCCAGCTCCTGCTCCTGCTCCTGCTCCTGCTCCTGCCGATGGTTGCGCCTGTTGTTGCTGTTGTGCTGTATATTTACGTGTGCCATTATTGCCCGCATCAGTCGATGATTGCATTGCGTCGCCCGCCGCTTGTTGCTAGGGTAAACGAAGAAGAAGTAGAAGAAGAAGAAGCGTAACGTCTTGTCAGATTTGTGTGCTAAGAGGATTGTCTTTAAAATGTAATCAAAAAGTAAGCCGCTTGGGCTGGGTAGCCCTCTGCCCTCGCCTGTGTTACGCTCCAATGATTACGCTAATTAAAACTAAATTATATATCTCGGTTTTGTTTTTCTTTTTTAATTTCAATTCAATTATTTTACTGCATTCGGGGGCGTGCAAATTAAAAAATGCTTTTCACAGACTTTTCAGTTTCACACAACAACTCTAATTCGAATATAATAATTGCAATGCATTTATAAGACAATGTGGCCAAATTTAAATATTTTTATATAATTGGCCCTTCGAGCTTCGCAACATTTGCATTTGGTCTTTACAATTTACAAACTTTGTAATACAAGGCGCGCGTCGCAAATTCAAATTGAATTCTACATCTAATTCGTTTACACAACCCCACACACCCCCTCACACCCCCTCACACACACACACACATACACACGCGCACAAGCTTAGTCAAGAACCGTTGTTCGTGACTGGAAGGAGTTTTCTTTTTATGTCTGTTTGACAAAATTTGACTTCAGTGTTAAGTGCTGGGTGCGACTATCAAAAATTGAATTAACTTGCAGTCAATTAAATCAAAACGCTGCCCCAATTGACAACAAGATGGCAGATGGCAGATGGAAGTTATTTGAAGATGATTTTAAATCGCCTAAAACAGCGAACTGGAACATTAAACGTTTTTGATGCGAAAACAAATACGTGATAAGCATTGCGACTAGTTTAATACATAGTTTATCTTGGAACATCTGACTTAATCGATCTTAAACGAGTTGGCGTAATCGACTGTGGAACGTGTTTTGTATGATCCATGACATGACACATTCATCCATTCCACTAAATAACAAATATAAATAAATTATAATTATTTCTACTTATATATATTTGCCAAGTTTTTAACATTCACTTTTTTCTTTTTTTAATAAATTCAAATATGTTTCACTTTGCTTATGTTTTTATAAAGATTTTTTGTGGTCGCATGATATATATATTTTGTAAAAGATTTGTATTATCGGAAACTTTCACTTTACTAGTGTCTTTTTTAGCTGGGACTGCGGTGTGATCTGTACGGATTCTGCCGACAAGTCGGGACTCTGAACTGAAACTAAAATTATTAGCGTGTCGCTTGGCGCTTTTTTAACGATTTTTTTTTAGTGCAACACAACAACTTGTTGCTATTATTTAATTTTTGTTTTAGATTTTCGCGCGTGTTAGTCGTTGATTTTTCAGACAGCCCGCAGCTTTAATGTGCTCATATTTCGAATGAATGCATTTTAAAAGTGTCTTATATTAATATTTCTAAGTATTTATTAGCATTGGGCATGCGATTCTTTTCTAAGCGTGAGAAAAAACTAAAGCCGGCAGCACAATTAAAAATGTATGCAGATTTGTAAATTTTAAAACGCTTTTTTTTTCGAAACGAGTGATAGAAGGATGAGAGATTTAATGCCGACAACCTTATTTTGATTCATCAATTTCAATTGTAAATAATATTTAATTTATACAATGCGCATACGTCGCGTGTGCCCTATGCTCAGCTGCGCAGCTGAAAGGTAGACGAGAACAACAACAACAACAAATAATAATCGCAAATTCCGTCAAGTCGAATGTGTTACACTCTTTCCTTTGAATAGGTTTTAGTTACTGTTTAAAACAATTTTTAGAATAGAATAGAATAGAATAGAATAGAATAGAATAGAATAGAATAGAATAGAATAGAATAGAATAGAATAGAATAGAATAGAATAGAATAGAATAGAATAGAATAGAATAGAATAGAATAGAATAGAATAGAATAGAATAGAATAGAATAGAATAGAATAGAATAGAATAGAATAGAATAGAATAGAATAGAATAGAATAGAATAGAATAGAATAGAATAGAATAGAATAGAATAGAATAGATAGAATAGAATAGAATAGAATAGAATAGAATAGAATAGAATAGAATAGAATAGAATAGAATAGAATAGAATAGAATAGAATAGAATAGAATAGAATAGAATAGAATAGAATAGAATAGAATAGAATAGAATAGAATAGAATAGATAGAATAGAATAGAATAGAATAGAATAGAATAGAATAGAATAGAATAGAATAGATAGAATAGAATAGAATAGAATAGAATAGAATAGAATAGAATAGAATAGAATAGAATAGAATAGAATAGAATAGAATAGAAATAGAATAGAATAGAATAGAATAGAATAGAATAGAATAGAATAGAATAGAATAGAATAGAATAGAATAGAATAGAATAGAATAGAATAGAATAGAATAGAATAGAATAGAATAGAATAGAATAGAATAGAATAGAATAGAATAGAATAGAATAGAATAGAATAGAATAAAATAAAATAAAATAAAATAAAATAA